TTGCAGATAATTTATTAGTTGCTGTTATTTCGTTCTATTTTTTCTTAATATAAGATGTTAGTTAATCGAGAAGTTATTTTCATTTTATTGCGGTGAAACTAAATTTGTGAACGGCGCTAGATCACGTTGACGTTCATAAGTGCTAAAAGAATGTGTACCTTTCATGGACTATTTTAATTTTTTCTTAAATAAAAAAAAATGTTCCGAATAAAAAAACCTCATTTTTCCTGATTTTTTTAAATTCAGTGTTATGTAAGTAATCAAAACAGATATATATTTTTTGATGAATTATCAAAAAATATATATCTGTTTTGATTTTCAATATCATCATTGATTGCTTAATTATCTTGTAGTAACAGGCGGGAGGTAAATAAATGTGAAACGCAGCTTCATCTAACGCTTGCCTACTTACCTAATAGGCCGCGCGCTCGTCAATATTAGAAACGAAAAGGTAACGTGTTTACCATTTATCTTCTTCAATGCTCCGCGATTTCTAGTTATTTTAGCCTGACAAGAGAAAGCCGCCCGAGCTAGGAGCGCACTCCGTTTTCTCATAAACGAAACGATTCATAACATTTTTACCACGATTTCTTTGTGTAAAACTGATGGCGGGGGTATTTTTATATGATTTTAGTAACCTCTTGTACCGTTTGAAATTAGAAGTAATAGAAGAAAGAAAGAAATGCTTTCCCTTCTTAATATTTTCCCCTGTCGATTGGTATGCCTATTTGATTAATCGGCTTAAAACGTTTTATTGCCACGTGCACTATTTTAATTCCTGTCGTGTTAATAAAGTTGCTTCTGTTACGTACTTAGGCCATGAATAAAAATACATTAATAAAAAATACATTAATAATCTCACGTTTTGACGCAACTGGGTTTGACATTTTTATATGTAAGAAGATGTGGCCAACGAGCTGGCGGTTCACCTGATGTTAAGTGATTACCGCCGCCCATAGACATTTGCAACACCCGTAGGATTACATATGCGTTGTCACCTTTAAATAAATAGGCCCCAGTTACCTCACTCACACGACGAAACGCAGAAGAATGACCCTTCCAATTCAGACAAGTCTTCTGTGAGGCCGTGGTACTTCTCCGGAAGGACCTGACCATTTGTGCAACTGCGAAGACTTGCGTGGCCCTACTACAGTAAATGCAATTCCCCAACACGTTACACTAGACTTATACGGGCTCATAACGTGAAATGAAAGTCCAAAAACATAACGCGAAAGTACCGACCACACTGTCGCGGTACATGTAATTCTCTATACTTAATTCGACCTTTTATTCGATATTCTGTTATGGACTCCGATTTCCCCATTTCATTTATGAATGGCATCTTAATTGAAGTGGTGATTGGAGGGCGCCCGTTGCCACAGCGACGCTCATTGTGAAGACAGAAGTAGGTACTCTATCCCAAATCCGTCATGATCGAAGGCGAGAATGGTGTCGGGTATTGTTTTTCTCGGAGTTTTGATTTTCTGACCTTCACGCAAAAGAATTTGATCTTTCAAGCATGCCTTGTGAAGATGTTTTCGTTGCATTGTTTTGGAAGCTGTGAATTTTCGCTGTAATAAATTAACACCATGCTGCATAGCAGCTATTTAGACTTGGAAAGTACCACACCACCACAGAAGATTTTACTTCCGTTCGGTTAAATAACTGGAAACTGTACACCCAATGGTTCGCAAACGCCTCAAATATCTTTCGTACCCTCAGTGTCCATGGGTAGTGATAGCGGCATCACCTGAACAGCTAGTTCAATTGTCTTTCTTGTGAAATAAAAAGTCATTATGGGTAACAGACTGTTGCAACTGACAGAAAAAAATCTGGCAAAATCGTTGACATCGATTTAAATACCGAGATAGAGCCAGTCGTTAATAAGAATAAAAAAATGTGATTATTGCAATAAATTCTTATATCTAAGTATATTCATGTTTTTTAATTAAGCATTATTTAATAGAAATTATAATACTGGTATATCATTTACGTTAAATTAGCAAATTTCATCTTTCATATTCTATTCGGCAGCTTGTTAGTCGAGGCGCTTTCGTTAAGGACCTGCATAGCTCTCATTAATGTATTACGATTTGACAACGTTTTCTCAACTCGGTCAAGCTTCGATTAAAGGCAAGATAAATAGAAAATGTTCCAATATTCCATCTCTACTTACGATGGCAGTTAAGAAGTCAGATTTTGGGTATAAAAAATTCGACTGTTCGCTACTTTTGTAATAATTAAAATCTGTTAATTCACATCGTAAAAGTTATTAACCCACAGAATATGAGATGGCAAATGCGACGAGAACGAATGGAACGCCATTACAGGGCACAATGAAATGCGTATTCGCCACGTAACTTAATAGAGTCGAGGCGAAGATATCGCTGAGAGTTTCCCCGCAGAGGCGTGGGAAGCGATACTTAGGCTAATAGGTATCAATTTGCGTTCAGGAAAGTAGTCGAATGTATTTTACTATTCAGCTCTCCCTGAACTCGTTTCTATTGTAGTTATTTGTCAATGTTGTTTCGATCATGGATTATGGCATTTTAAAGCGTCGTTTTAGTGTCGTTCATTGTTCAACAGCGGACTTCTTTCGGCCGATGATGATTGTAAAGTGTTCATCATCATCATCATCGTTTTAGCCTGTTTGAGTTTATTTATTTATTTATTTATTTGTAGCATCACAAAGCAGAATGACAACGTATTTAAATAATAATACAAAAGCAATATTATAACATTCAGTTGACATTCCAAGTATGCGACGACAGCAAGTTATATAAGAAAAAAACCAGTAAATAGATGGTACATATTATAAAAGTGACAAAGAATAAATATTTGTGACAAAACATAATAAAAAACTTATAACTAATAACTATATAGCTAAAATAGAATAATGGAGAACAATATCATAAAGCATTTAAGGCTGCTTTCAATCTCCATTTAAATGTGAACAGATCATCACCCAAAAAATCCAGCTCAGGATGTTTCAGAACCAGGGAATTATAATTGCGGCTAATTCTAGATAGAGGTTTATTGTAAGTGATGTTTGTACGATGAGTTGGAACATAAAACAGTTCACATTTTCTAAAATTGCGCATGGGTACATTAACAGCTACATTTTTAAGGAGTTCAGTTTTCAAGTTACCTTTCAGAATTTTATTAAACATTAACATGTCAATCATCAGCCTGCGGTTTTGTAAAGTAGACATACCAAAATTGGTACATCTATCTGTATAAGATGTGAGAGTACGCTTCATTCCCAGGCGATATGAGATAGTTCTGAAAAATTTTGCCTGAATACTTTCGAGGCGATCTATGTGCACCGCGTAGTAAGGATTCCAAACAATACTGCAGTACTCCAGCTTACTACGAATTAAACTATTGAAGACTTTTACATATGATTCAGGGGTACGAAAGCCTTTACAACATCGGGAAATAAAGCCAAGCGTCCTGTTACAAGTATTGAGTAAGTAATCATAATGGTCCCTAAACGATAGCGTGCAATCCATGATTATTCCTAAATCACGTGCCGTAGTTTTCCAATCTAAGTCCATATGATTGATATTAATACTGAAAGTCGGTTTTCTTCACAGCGCTAGATGAGAAATTAATACAAAAGCATTTTTGGACGTTGAGAAACATGTGGTTGTTATTACACCATACTGCTGAACATAGCCCTCCCCCATAGACTGCCACTTGGTTGTAGTGTTAATGAGCCAAAAATTACTTTTGATAATGAATCAATAAAATTACATACTCACTGGTCTTTGTCACAATATTCACATATATAGAATGAAAGTTCTGGATGTCTATTTGATGTCAAGTCGAATCACCTGCTCGTTTGCCGTGTTCTTAGTCAAACTAAATTTTCTGATATATTTTCGTATTATATTTCTTGTAATGCAATCGTTTTTCAGAGTGTAGTGCTATAGCGCATACGATTATTATTCAAAATGTATTTGAAATGGCATTAAGGTTCCCAATAGTCATTTACATATTCTATCGACGAATAAGGTCTTGCCTTTTATTTTTCGTCATCGCGTTTTCATTCCGCGACCTATTTCGATGGTTTAAAAAAGCCATTTTAAATCATCACAATGGCCGATTGCCCGGCGTAGCGATACTTAGTAATTGCGTGATCTTTTGTTCTCTATTTAATCGTCGTTATAATTGTTGTTGTCGCAAATCTAATTTTATCTCAAGGTTTCGTATTTGCCAATCTTCAGTTGTAAATCATTTTCTTCTACGTAGTCAATAAGCTGTAGGTAATCACCCGACGACGCGTTCCAATTAAGAAAGTTGTTACGATTGCTTGTATTTATACGAAAAAAGTACACGGCGACGTCCATACAGCAGCTTTATTAAAATTCTCACGTAAACAATGCAAGTTATAGTAAGGCTAATGGCATGTACATACGTATTCATAAAAATTCTTAAAATATTATGGATGCTGTTAAAATTCTTGATGATCTTACACTAATTTCGAGTCATACTATAAATTTGTTTAAAACGTGAGTAGAGGCGAATTTAATTTGACTATCAGATTTTAGGTTAGGCAGTTTTTCCACTGCGTTAAAATAAAGCTCGAAACGAGCCGAGTATGATTTGCATTAGGTACTCATTCGATATGCAAATTGACACTTTCCCCCCGTGCCGAATCGCGGGGCCCGTCGGGTTTCCGGTTTATCGCCGCGCACATCACTATCGCGTTAAGCTATCGAAGCGGTTCGGCCCAACATATCGATATGCCCGCGCGGAATGACAATGCACCGCGCTAGCGCCGGGCGGCCGAGGTGAAAGTGTTTCGCGAAAGCGAAGCCGGAACCGACCGCCGGGTGACGTCACCCGCAATTTGCGCAACCACCACCGCCTATGGAGGGATTGCGAAACCTCGCTCGCTCTTCGCACGGGGGACACGTAGCCCGCGAGGTTTATATAACACACAACGGACCAAACAACTCTTTTGTTACGCGATCCATAGTGACGGTTCGCTTTCTATGTATGGGCGCCGCGTGTACGGCGCTTTCGTCGCGAACTTTTCCGGCGTCGAGCTCTCCTGGCGGACTTTCGCGTCCGATTGCGCAATGGAATTAAGCTGTCACGCGGTATGCGAGTACAGTCGCGTTCAGTTATTTAATACTATTTTTCGACTTTGTATAGTTACAGTTGTTTTATTGAATGAATCCGTGGCGCAGTCGCCTGCATATTGGCATCGGTGCCGGGGGTTGTGAGTTCGGTTCCCACACGGAAGAGCCATTTGTGTGACCCACAGATAATTGTTTCGGGTGCTTGTCCAAGTGAAATTTATGTGTGTAAAAAGTCCTTACAACACTAGATATTTTATCCTACAGTGAGGGCAATGTTCTTGTAGAGCAAAGAAGAAAAAAAAAAACACTTAAAGCGTATAAAGACAATTTCTTAATTAATTTGTTGAAAGAGATGTCCAGATCTGGATGTTTGTTTCCCAAGTAGGACCTCAGAATCAAAAACATAGCAAAAAGCATTTACAACACGATCAGTGATATGTGGCTGTAATTCAGAGCCATGTTTTGATTGTGTCAAGCAACGTCATAGTTATGGTGGGTTACACACCTTTGTTTTTTTTAGTTACCGTCCGTATGCCTAGGATCTAATTTGACTAGCCTTTCGACTCCTTGATCACGTCCGAGAGGCTAGTAATTATAATACAATGCTCACTCTTGCACCGTTGGAGAGAATTGTGTAAAGCGGGGAAGTGGCACTTTGGTGTATACACCACTACCCATTGTTACGCCATAGACGGACGGTTCATTAATTCTGTACAGACGCTTAGGCCCTCGCTCGTCCTTAAGAGTGAACTATAAAATAACGGAACCAAATATGTACTCTAAGTTTCAAAAGAGAATCGCTCGTAGCAGAGCTATTTCTAGAAATTTAAAAGAACGTAATTTTGTTTTTTGTGTATTTTTTCTTAATAACTATTGATTTTTTAAAGTAATAGTTGCAAATGTACTAAAGAGTGTTTCTTTTTAAAAGGAACGGAGGGAGAAATTATGAATTTAAATAAAATGTTTTAAGAAAAGGAAAGTTTGTGTTGGATTAATTTGAACCAATAAATTCAATAAAGATTAGAAAAACATGAATAACTGTTAATTTGTTTCCGTTTCGTTATCTAATCAAACGCGATAAAGTCCGTAAAATAATTTCTTTTTACAATACTATACGACAGTTAATATTCGTCAGACTTCATGAACAACAAATGGATTAAAAGCATAATTTTGCAGAACTAGCGTGAAAGAAAATATTACAACTGTATTCAACGAATCGACCATCAGTTACAACGTTAAATGCAGCGAGTCTATCTCGGCGATAAACAAGACAATAAATATCCGAACGAGAACGCGACATCGGCTAAAGTTATGCCGAAAAGTTTCGACATTGACCCGAGCGCCAGCACACGCGTGTCCCCGCCGCCGAAAAGTCGGAGCGGGGTCGAAATTCGTGCTGTGCCGACACGGTGGCCGAGCGCACGGTCGACTCCCACCGCCCCGAGTGGCCGACGGAGGGCGGGCGGATGCCGGGGCGCCGCGACCTCGTCCCGCCGGGGCGAAGTCTGGAGGTCGCAACAGCGACGCCCGCCCTACGCCGATGCGGATCACGAGGGCGATTATTAATATCGGCGTTTCACGGTTTAGTGCGAAAGTCTCGCGGTGACCCGCCTCCGTCCCGTGTGGATTCGTCAAGGGCATATCTCGCTACGGATTTTCTGCCTATCTGTTTTATGTGGCGTGTTAATGAAACGGCTGCACTGCCTAGCAATGGAAGGTATTCCCTAATACCGAATAATGTTTACCTGTTTATAGAGGTAAATCAGTCGGCTAGAGAGTTCAATTCTGGCATCGTTTTAACTGGCTGGTAATATTTGTATTGGGTCATAAAAATTTATCATTGTAATATTAAGAGAGGAATGTATTTAAATTAAGATCAGAATGTTTAAATGGGCCACTAGTTGACTAGGTAGCCGGGTTCCACTTTATTATAAGGTGGCAACGCATTTGAAACCCTACGGGTGTACCGGTGAACCGCCAGCTCGTTTGCTAACTTCGCACATAAAAAAGGTATGCCAATTAATATCTGTGTTGTTTTTCAACTTATTGTTTAGCAAAATTAATTATAATAAATAAACAGAGCAGACACATCGACCTATGTATCTAGAAAGTGTTAGTTTCAATGCTGAGAATCGAAAAGCGCTGTCTAAGTAATAACATCTTAGAGAGTAATGTATAATTTCGTATTTAAATTTCGCGTCTACGTGTTAAATGCAAATTGATTTGAGTTTGCGAGGCTGTAGACTATCGTAAACCATTTAAGTGATTGACATACTAAGTAGGGAGGCAGACATTACTTAGCTTGTCTTTTTCTATTTCGCACATTCTTGTCATTGTTCATTTTACAGCTGATTCGAGGAGAGGCTGATGATTAGTGTATCTTTAACATCGCTTTATTTTCTATTATATTATAGATACTAATATAATAGTAAAAAAAAGCGAATTTTCAACCTGATGGTTGAAAATTGAAATTTTTACCTAGAAACTTTGGTGGAAGTTTGTTGAATTGTGAAACAAATTATTATAAATAGAAAGGGCTTTCTCGTCTTTTAACTATTATGTATGAACAGAGCTGGCTTTGATGGAGTTCTTTTGTCTCTTAGTAATGTGACAAGTCTTATCATTCGTACGCATCGGTGTTGTCCTTAAAAATTTCGAGAATCGATAAACTCAATGATGAATGCCACGGGGAATCGAACCTGCTACCATTACGCCAGAATTTCACCGTCTCTGCCGTCCCATCACTAATAAAGACATTTTCATAATAAATCTGCATAGCCGTTATCTGCTGAGAAGAAACACGATATGTAAAATTCGAAATAGCTTTGAAAAGAAAATAAATACAAGATTTAAAATAAACTTTAAAATAATTCTAATTAAATAGAATTTCCATTAAGACGGTGCTGTAAATTGATAATGTTTTCAGCGAGGGACGTTGGAAAGTTTTAACGTAATTTAGTCTCACCAGCTCTCGGATAAAACTTAAAACGGGGAAAGTGTAGTAAATCAAGCGTAATAAATTGAATTAATTAAATAGAAAAGTTAAAATACTCGTTCCACTATTTAAAGATTTCTTGTTTTTTAAAAAAGAGGACAAATGTTGACGGTACATTGAGACAAAGAAAATTGAGTTGATAAATAATAATATGTTCAGTTAATTTCAAGTATCTATATTGAAATAAGGGAATTAATTCCAATCTGAAAAAAAAAAGGAAAATCGTACAGAACCATAGTACGTTTACTTCAAAGACATTGACTGAATTGATTATCAACTTTCTGTTTTCTTTCAACTCTCAGAAACATTAGCTTTAGCGATTTATTTATTCATTAGCTTCGGGTCAAACATAATTATCTTCCACAGTCGTCCAATCTATTGATTCGTTAACATTGTAAGAGTGTTATCGAAAATCTGTTTGGTTATGCTCTTAGATCACGTCACTTCACGGGCACGTCTCAGCGCTAGCGGGCTAGTCAGTTTCTTGTTTACTCCAACACGATGCGGTCGCTCATCTGAGTGGTGTGGCCGTCACGCTTCCATGCGGCGTGAAATGTTTGCGGCCCTTGTCCCGCATTTCCAGTTCCCTCTAGAGAGCCGAGATAGCACGGTGTCCGGACGCTCGATTTTCATTAAATTTACTCGGGCAACTTCAGTTCAAATCCCGGTGGCAGCAACATATTGATTTGTTAATTCTAATGTATGATTCTAGATGAATGAAGGAAATTATTTTTGGATTTTATATTATAGCTTGCTTGCATTGACATTAAGCAGTTCTTATCTGTAACTTGGAGGATGAGTGACTATGTTTTGTGCCTCTCTGGTCCTTTAAACAAAGAAAGGATTAAAGCGCATCTATGTTAATATAACAAAATTTCTATCCGAGTTTACTTAACTTTTAATCCCTGCTCATAACATATTTCTATCCGATGCTTTTAATCAGATTTTATTGGAAACTTAATATATACTTTACTATACTTAGCGAGACAACATTAACTTATCATTAATTGATATGTATTGTTGGATGCATTAATTTTCAATTTTCAATTGTCAATCAGAAAGATAATAACTATTTAGAACTTTGATGTCCATCGTTTTATTCTGATACCTCAAGAAAGTCATCCGTGACATGAATCTTACATATTGTTGGGAAAAAAAAAACATTCCGGTTGTGATTTCAAACGACTCAACAACTTGGATTTGGATGCAGAAATGTAGTTTCGTATTCAAGTATAAAATCTTCATTCCTTATATGTAATAACATTTTTATAATAATTTACGGGTAAGCACTATAAATTGCAGTTTACACCTAAAGTACACAAAGAATTTACTTTCATTATACATATATATGACTTTTTGGTAAACCATTGTGGTTTTTTGTTTGAAAAAGCCAAAATACATAATAAATACTTTTTTTTCTGTTTTTTTTTTTATAAACATTGCCCTTACTTTGGGATAACATTATCCTGTGTTGTAAGGACGTGTTACAAACATAAATTTCACGCGAACAAACACCTAGATGCGGAACAACTATCAGTGGGAGACGATACCTTGGCGACTGCGCCACGGAGTTTTCACAATATAGAATAGAATAATATAGACGTTGATTAAGCAGTACCTATAAGTCAAAGAGAAAGTTTGGGGCATATAATCCTGTTGCAAATCACATAATAAAATATATCTACATAAAACAAAACATAAAATATGTCTATAAATCTGCAGTGGACTCGCGTGGCGTACTGTCTTACATTACCTTTTGTACTATTACTTTACCTTTCGTATACATTACGATTTGACTTTTATTATAATATATCATATTGCATGTTAGTTTTTCTTTTAATAAAACAAAATATATGTCACAATATAGATCGCGACCATGTGCAATTCTGTACAACATACCATTAAAACATCATTTATTTAGAAATGTTGGATGAAATAGCTATCGCTAAAGACCTGTGTCATATACATATTCCACGCCTTTTGATAAAACCATCTTATCTGCTTCCGTATGTATATACGTCGATATTGAAGTTTGTTCTGTCTTATGTTCTAAATCTTCCACTCGGGGATTCCTTATCGGTGTTAACAGGCACTAAGTAGTCTATAACATTATCTCGTAATGAAAATAGAGATAAGTAAAAGTGTTTCGCGGAACGTCAGATAGAGAGAGGGAGAGAGCTATTTTATAGCGATTTTTACAGCGTTTCGACAAGCGCTCTACGCGCACCCACGAGTCTGATATGGCGGCCTTATTTATCTCAATACTCCTTATTTAAACACAAAACTGAGCTAGCCGAGGACCATTCAGAACTACGGTATCGAGCAAGCTTATCAATATTCGCTACACAAACTCCGTCCAGCTATCGCAGTTCACGAGAGCGCTTAAAAACTCCGATAAAACAGACACGACAAACGAACGAAGCAAATTGTGGCTCCACTAATGGCCTCTCATTATGGAGGACGCTCAGCTTTTATTATATCGTACAGCCGGGGCCGGGGCGATTTGGATAACGACCGAAATTTGTGTCGCGACGTTCGCACTTAGGTGTCATAGATCCGTTTTTAATGAGACGCTCGATCTCCTTACTGGCTATTCTAATTCTAATGAAGGAACGGGAAAGCGAACGAGCCTCTGTTGTCAACTTGGGCTCCAAAGCGATCCGCTTTTATCATCATAATTGCAGCCTGTTCGAGGTCACTGCTAAGCATAGACCCCCACATACTGCCAAGAACCACCTGGGGTACCTCAATCCATCTTGCCTCACATTTGCACAAGCCTAGTAAGGGTCGTCCTATACTACCTTTTAGAGAACCTTTCTTTCCCATCGGTTATCGGTTTTTGGAGCTACATGGCCGGCCCATTTCCATTTCAGATCACTGTTCCTCTGAGCTATGTCGGTTACCTTTTGTTATACGTCGGATCTTCATTAAAATCTGATCACCTAGAGAAATACCGAACATAGCCCGCTCCGTGTCCTACTGAGTGACTTTGAGCTTCCTGTTACCACTTGATTGCGTCGTAAAGCCGCCTCGTACCGCGTACGAGAATAACTTCATATTAAGACACAATTTCAGCGTCGAGAACGACGCCGCTATATTTCGAGAAGATTGGGTCTCCGCTCTGAACGCTGTAGAGCTAGGCGTTACTTAATGATGCGTATGACTCAAACTAATGTTTTTTATATATTGTACTGCTATCCTATTGCAATTATGTCTTATTGTAGAAATTCTGGGGTATTATTACTATAACATTTATTTGCAAGAATAGCGTTTGCATATCAATATGGTCTATTTATTTATTCTGCCTGCTTGATAGGCGTGCAAATATTAAACAGATGTTTCTTTTTTATTCAATACGTTTATCAAATCAATTGAAAGTGTAGTTATTAAAATTTATAACATAAGGCAGGGTTATTACGGTTTTTTTTTTGGGTGGGAAATGTGACAAGCGACCTTGCCTTTCACCTAATGTTGAGTGATAATCGCGGCCTATGGTTATTTGCAACAACGGTAGGGTTGCTTGCAACTTACAACGCATAAGTTGTCACTTTTTTTTAAAGTGGATCCC